ATTGGATGCAAATCCTTTGCAGTCAGCAGTCAGTTGCTGCTTGTTTGTGGGTCTCTCAGCCTTCAATTTTGACTTCAGTAAGTCAAAGCAAGCTCAATTGAGTTGATGTCACTGACTCTGCCTTTTAAGAACATTCAATGAAATGAACCTTTTTCAGCCAACTGTGTCTGAACACATCGGAATTAGACCTCCACATTTAACCCATCCGTGCAGTGAAACACCACATACACACTAGTGAACACACACACTAGGGGGCAGTGAGCACACTTGCCCGGAGTGGTGGGCAGCCCTATCCACGGCGCCCGGGGGGAAATTGGGGGTTAGGGGCCTTGCTCATGGCCACTTCAGTCACGTACTGTCAGCTGAGGGGATCGAACCGGCGACATTCCGGTCACAAGGCTGGTCACCTAAGCCCACGACTGCCCCACAATTTCATTTCATTGCCTTAAGAATCTCTTGGGTTGCTTTTGTGGTGTGACTTGTTTTTTGGTCATTATCCATTTGTACTGTTAAGCACCATCCTATCAGTTTTGCAGTATTTGACTACGTTTGAACAGAAAGTATAGCACTATACACTTCAGAATTCATCCTGCTACTTCTTTCAGCAATCACATTGTTAATAAACACCAGTGACCCATTTCCACTGCCAGACATACATGCCTATGCCATAACACTGCCTCCACCATGTTTGGCAGATGATGTGGTATGCTTCAAATCATGAGCCCTTCCTTTCCTTCTCCATACTCTTCTCTTCCCATCATTTTGGAACAAGTTAATCTTGGTTTCATCTGTCCATCTGTCTTGTTCAAGAGCTTGGTAGTTAGTCGAATCTGGCCTTTCTGTTCTTGAGTGTCACCAGTGGTTTACATCTTGAGGTAAATCCTCTGTATTTCCATTCATGAAGTCATCTTTTGATTGTAGACTTTGACAATGAAATGGCAGCCTCCTCCAGAATTTCCTTGACCTGACTTGATGTTGTGAAGGGGTTTTTCTTCACCACGGAAAGTTTTCTCTGATCACTCACTTTAGTTGTCTTCCAGGTGTTACAATGAGCTTTACATACTACAAACTACATATATATATATATATATATATATATATATATATATATATATATCATTATATGGAGTGGGCCCTGGACTTCATCTATTCAAGGGTGCTTTAGTAAAGCCAATGGCTATATATTTAACAATAAATATTCAAAGAACTATTTGAATGCATAAATAGTTCTTTGCATGGTTAAATAGTTCTTCTCTGATTCATTCCATGAAAAGACACCCATTTGATTCCCCGCCTGATGCAATGTGCAAGGGATAAAAATCAACAACTTTAATTAATGTAGTGAGTGAAAAATTTTATTGCATGTCAAAATGTTTTTGTTCATATATATATATATATATATATATATATTTTGAATAGAGGGACTTTCAACTGACTGACAGACAGCCATCACATTCCAGTCCATCACATTCTCCTCTGTCACAACTCCAATATGATGAGGTTGCACTTGTCGGTGTTATGTGAAAAAAGGTGTCATTTATTTTCTTAAAAAATGTCAAATTACTATGTCCATTTGGCACCAATCACATAGAATGATCTGATGTAAAAGCAGTTCTACATAGCACCAAAAAGATTCTGTGATTTTTACAAGTCATTGAACCTTTTTTTGGTAACATATAGAATATGTATATGTGTATGTGTATATGTATATATACACTGTATTGCCAAAAGTATTCACTCACTCATCCAAATCATTGAATTCAGGTGTTCCAATCACTTCCATGGCCACAGGTGTATAAAACCAAGCATTATGATTATGCTGGGCTCTCTCGGCAGGCTTGACCTCTCTAGCATTCCCAGCAGTTTTTTTTAAATGCCACTTAGTGCTGCACATGGACAAGTGCACTCTTTAAAAAGCCATCAGCCCAGTTTTATCTACCGCCCTTGCCAACCCTGATGCCTGAACAACCACAAAGCGAGCAGAGAGAGGGAAAGCTCTCCACATGTTTACTGTAATACTCCTTAATCTGCCTCTTTGTCACAGTGCAACACTGCTCTACTCCTCGGCTTCACATTGGCTACACTTGGCTCATTGGCTACACTGACCTAATAATGCCAGAAGGCATGTGCCATGAAATCAGCATATCATCTAAACAGGCCTTTGATGATCAGAGATTATTTGGTACTTACTGACCTTCACAAACCTTTCTATAGTAAGAGGGATGAGAGAATTCAATATTTTCTTTTTGTTTTCATATACAGCTCTTTGTCTCCAGACATATATTAAACAAACTGTATATGGGTGCTGTAGCCTGCATCTGCTATAAACAAAACCTTTTGCACTTAGCTTATACACTTAAAATGATGTGTCAGCATATCTCTGCAGTATGCAGTTGTCAGTTTGTTAAAATGGATCCTGAGGCGAGTTTGTCATCCCAGCCTCTGGCATTCAGTGTGTGTGTGCATGGCATGCGGAGTAGCTGCAGCAGTGGTACACAACATTACACAATGCCATATAGAGCAAGACAATGTAACACAATAAAACTATGCATTGTAGATGCCTACACTGCGTTATATGATGATGAATTCAGTTGTTTCTTTGATTTGTTAAATTTAAATTTGGGTGAGCTTTCCCCTGGGTTGGATATTATTTGAGGTTGCCACGTTTACACAAATACTTAAAAATTAAACTAAATTTTAAAGTAGTACCATAGCCATCATTTTGTGCATTTTTGTGCATTCTCTTGCAGTCATAAAAAAACAAACATGGTGGGGCTAGCATACTTACCATGTTTATAGAGAGATATGCCCAAAAAACTGTCTAAAAGCAGGCCTGTAGAAGTGAAGTATGTAAGGACGTAACTGTTAATTTCAGTAGTCATGTCATGGTATTTATTGACTTTAGAAGTAAAGAACTTATTAAATGATACCAAAACTGAAGAGATCTTCCAAAAGAATACAGAAACAGCTTGAGCTCAGATAAATAAACATTACTTGATGTTCCGCTATAAAGGTGTTACTGCACTTTTTTCTCTTCTTTTTACCCCTGACAACCCCCCACAGACAATGCACCTGGAAATACGCACCAACCAGTCACTTTATTAAGTACACCTCCTTGTAGCTACTCTCACTGTCACTTACCATATAGGTGCACTTAGTTGTACTATTACAGACTGTAGTCCATCTGTTTCTCTACTTTATTAGCCTCCTTTATCCTGTTCTTCAATGGTCAGGACCCCCAGAAGGCCATCACATTTTCTGAGCACTGCAGTGACACTGAAGTGGTGGTGGTGTGTTAATGTGTTTTGGGCTGGTATGAGTGGGTCAGACACAGCAGTGCTGCTGGAATTTTTAACACTTTAGTGTCCCTGCTGGACTTAACATGATAACATATCGTCAATTTGCCCACCCCTAACAAAATGTCTTATTTTTAGAAGATTGCAGAAAGATGTGATTATGTAATATGATTATTTTCCTGAAGTAACGTGTAAATACAGTATTGTTACAGTGTATAAAAAGTCTTATACACTAGCTGTGTTTTGTAATTTTTCGGTGGTATAAAACAGTGTAATATGTCTTTAAGTGAAACATGGAACAGTTGCAGCGTTCGTTGAAAAACATTGTTTTGTACTGGATTCCTTATGCATAAATTATTAGTATTATTGTTATTTTCTATTTTTATTCTTATTGTTATTCTAGATGATATTGATAGTAGTTTTGGTTACTGTACAGATACACCAAATTTGTATGTGCCCATTTTATGATCAGATTTGACCATACACAACTTTAATGAATTAGGGCCATTGAATGTAAAAGCTGGTCATTAGTCTGACAGAGAAACATTCCAGAGAAGTGTAGTACACTCTGTTTCGCATGATTCCATTACGGCCATCATTCAATGACAGGTTCATCTGACCCATTTGACCTAGCCAGGTCAGTTTAGTTTCTCTTCTTCTTCTATAATAGATTAGCATCTAGTAACAGCCCCGTCCCATTGGGAAGCCTCATTTGACCCAGCCAGGTCAGTTCAGTTTCTCCTCTTCCTCTATAATAGATTAGCATCTTATTAAGAGGGGCCGGTCCTGGGTCAGCATAAAAAGCCCTGAATAGAACCAGCGGGTGATGGGTACACAGGAAGAGAGGCCACATTTCAGCCATTATTAGCCCTTCTCTCACAGCCAGCGTGCTGTAATTTGTCTGATTTACTCCCTGCACGCGCGTCGCCCGAGTGGCGGTGATTAATCGTTATTAAACGAACTGGAGCGTCCTCCGGGGAGGACGCGATACAATACACTGGTGTTCTGGCACTCATCTGTCCTGTGTTATTAGTCCCGTGTGCCATCAATGGCACCACAATGGCAGCGGAAATATCAGTAAACAGAACGGAACAGAGAGCAGGAGGGAGGGAGAGAGGCAAGAGATTCAGCAGTGGTTTGAAGCTTCATTTACTTTATGGAATATTGTGTCCTTCTTCTAACCAGACTTAGTTTCCATGGTAGCTGCTAAGAAAAGCTGCTTTTTTTTCCTCCTCCAAACCTCATTATGGAGTAATCTTCCCTACCGTGCAAGAAAAAGATTTGCTATCTCTGTACTGATTTATATAGCCTACAGTATATTCTTATTACTTACTTCCTTACCGAAACACTCATTAATACACGGGCTGCTGAAAAAAAAACATTGTACTTTATGATTGTTGGTGCTGCTTGTGTCTTGTTGTACAGATATCTGCTGCACTGTTTGTGATGGTTATTCCACTCAAATCTGTTGATTTTCATGTATACTATTACAGCTGTCTTATGATAACCAATTCATTAGCTGATACATCGACCCATCAGTTACAGCCTCGCTTTGCCTCATGCTGTTACTAAGCAAGCTAATACAATTTCGTCTGTTGTACTCATCTGATGAGTGTTGGAATGCCTTACTGAATAATAATACTGAATTGCCACGAGATTATTTTCAGTCGCTTAGCAGTGCTGTCCCTCTTCTTTGTTCTGTAGGACTCTGCGAGAGCACTTGGGGGAACAGGAAGTGTCCATCTCTCTGACCATAGATGCTGTAGAGGAAAGTGACCTGGGTAATTATTCTTGCTATGTGGAAAATGGCAACGGAAGAAGACAAGCTAACATCCAGCTCACCAAGAGGGGTAAGAAACCAGCTAACAGACGTGTGTGCATCAGTAATGCATGGGCCATTTTCAGTTGTCCTCCAGTCATCACTGCTCCTCCCCAACTTATGAGATCTGTCCATAATAAAGCACCACACACTTTTCTGCTTACGAACCTCAACCAGCCTGACATGTCAGATTGCATCAAAGCACAAATTACTGTTGTAGTTGTGTATCCATTTTGCAGAAAAAGTGAAAGGAATGAAAAGTGTTTTTTATGGCATTGCCAAAAATAAAATAAATGTTACTCTTATTTTCAGAAAGTAGTAGCCAGTTAAGCCAATTGATGATAGTGTTGTGAGTCAATTGATAGTTTCCATCTATCAGGATTGTCACTGAAGCTGGATGATAAAAATATCAGAAAATGTCCCCTTCATGGCTTTAAGATGGCACCAAAGTAGCCATACTTTACTCAAAATGTTTTTTTGTTTTTTTTTTATGTGAAGCACCTCATGGACCTGCTTGTAACTCACTCACTCATTCACATACTCACTCACTCACTCACTCACTCACTCACTCACTCACTCACTCACATTTAACAAGATTGTCCACAAGGGGGAGCTACTGGCACTATAGAGAAATTTCTTGGTGGGCCGCTGAGAGATTGAGAAAGAGAGAAATACACAGTTGTTTCTAATGTAGTCCTGTATAAAAAGGAACAGAGATCGACTGGAACAAACAGTATGTGTCAGACAAATACTGGAGTGCACATCTACACACATTAGTGGCCCACTGCATTTTCACTGTGTAGCCCCACAAATGCCACAAAACAAAGCATAATGATAACAACTTGGAAAGTTAAACTGTGAAGGCTAACCAGAAAGAGATGGAGGGAGAGGGGGTGGTTGACTTGAACAAGACACAAAAAATAAAGATGTGAAAGTACACAATTTGTTTGGATTTCAGGATGAGAAGCCATAGGGCCAGAGTGCAGAAGGGTTGTCATGGGTAATGGGAAGGAGGTCACTGTGGTTGTATTGGGCTGGTCTAGACAAAAGTTCAGGGCTGAATTTGTCCAGACATACTTTATAGATTATATCAAGGCTTCACTTAGTCCTCAACTTACTGATAAAACCTCAATTTTCTCCCAGAGCCTTCCGCATCCACCTACTCCACTTTTGGTAGCTTAGTTGTCGACGGTAAGGGATTTGCCTGTTTGTGTGACATCTTACACTTTGCAAGAGACAAGCTGCTTTTAAATCTGCTCAAGGATGCATTGATGTAACTTAGCTGCAATGTACAGTTTTTTTTTAAAGATATCTTAAAGATATCCTTATTAATTACACATGCTTGTATCTACAATCTTCGTCCATGTTATGAGCTTATTATTGTCTTTTCTTCAACAGTGGAGAATACACTTTTTATTATTGGATAACAATATAGTTATATGTTGAATTTCAATAAATGGTGATTTGTAATACTTTTTTTAAAAAAATATAATAAATATCTCTTTAATATGTATAAATATCACAAAGTTACACTTTTATACATTATTCCACCCCAACCTACATAATTCATCTTGGACTATGGTAATGTCCACTGGGAAGAAACAAACAAACAAAACAAAACAAAAAAATAATAGGGTGCTACATGCTGGTGCTTCACATCTGTGATATTTTGTGCCCTTGTTTAATATATATGTTCATGTAACATGTTCTAAATTAGCCCTAATATGTGATAATTTGTCTGGCTACAGAGCATTCTGTTTTTCAACTCATGGTTTTGCTATTTAAACTAAAAGCTTTATTGTAGCCAGCCATGCACAGAACGCCTTCTCTCATGAAACATGAACAAGGGCAACAGTGTGGTTACATCAAAGTTAATAAAAACAAAGGACTATTATTATTATGAATAGTGTAATAATTTTAATAATAGGCTACAATGTTTATTGATGGGCTAAAAAGGAGTCCATTGATATGCTCGGTTTGCTAAACATATAGCAAGAACTACCAAACTATACCAAAAACAAAGTTAGCTTGCCAAGCATGTTTACTTTGTCTGGTTTAGGCAGTTTCTCTGTGGTGTTAGTACTGTGTTAAATCAGGTTATTAAGTAAAGCTGCCACAGATGGTGATTAAGAGGGTCTTGTCAGCATTAGGAGCGGTATTTCAGTCAGTATTTACATCTCCTTCTTTCTGTATGTGCTCTGATGGCAGGGAAGCGACTCCTTTATATTTATAAAGTTATTCATTAATTTATTTATTGGGAAGGTGGCTCTTGCTTGCCTGTCATCTCTACCTTCACATCAATAGATAGTATCATCAATCACTATTGCCTAGAGAGCACAATCAGAAAGATAGTATTGTAGTGTGTTCGAGAAATGTTTTTAACATGTTAGTTTGGGTTACTGTTCTTCAGCGTTAACTCACAGGATTATTCTGATAGGGACTCTTATTGTGAAGGGGGGATATGTGTGTAGAGCAGGAAGAACTGAGAGCCCATCAGGAGCTGAAGAGTTGAGAGTCAGATATGTGCTGAGGCTTAGAGTGAGCTAACAGAGAAAGCTGATCTTATGTATGGCATAGCTGTGGCCTATGGCAGCTGTTTAATAAAGCACCATGACTTGAGCGAAAGCTGTGTCTCTGTTGAATGCAGAAAATGCTACAGTACACTGCACACAATTTCACAAGCTTAATAAGTAATGTGGGCTTGTGGATGCTATTTTGACACTAACATATCCTAGCAACTCCCGAAGAGAAAATTAGCATTATTATAGAGGAGGAGCAGCTCAGATCTCATTGGTTATCTTTCACGCATGACACACACAGCATTTTGTTTGAGGTGGTCGGCACTTTCCCCACTCTACAGGATGCTGAGTTGTAAATGCTGAACATGTTTAATATTTATGATTCAAAATTGGGGTGGCCAGAGGCCAGATGGCTAGAGGCCCTGCCATACCATATCATGATACTTAAGCCACAACACAATTCTGATGCTGTTTTTTTATGTTATTTGTGAGATGCTACAGTAAGTGTTGCAATATGACACATTTTGATACTTATGCCTCTGTGTATCAGTACTGTTTTTTCCTCCCAAAGTTTTGCAAGACCCATTTTTCCTGTAACCACTAACAGGCATGCATACAGTCGTGACACTTTTCCATACTCATAACACCATGCACACTCTCTCTCTTTGTTGCACACATACACACAAACACACGCGCACACACGTAACACACACACATACACACACTGTGGGGCTCCTTTCTGACAAATTGTGATTTGCTGATAAACATTTTGCCCATGGCCGCTCATACTTGTGTTAACACAGAGAAAGAGTGGCTTTACCCATCTTAATAGCCTTCTCCCTTACCCTCGACATCAGCCTTTTTGAAAAGGCAGATAGACTCTGCGTTTTTCTGAAATATTTCTCAGACAGTTAGACGTGTTTGTCGAGGGGGATTACTGGGGCCGAGCTGAAGCGCTCGTCTGTCCTCATTTCACATTTAAGTTTGTTTGAAAGTTTCCCTCAAGTCTCTCTTCACAAGTGAAGCACCATGTTACCAGAGCAGTGAATTAGTCTTTTCCACTTTGGGCTTTACATTTACTCTTGAAAGACTGTAATTACTATTGTAGTTTTGCTGTGCGTTCAGTTTATGTAATTATGTACAGAGCTGTACAAAATTCAGAGACCAACCTTCACATATTTAATGTTCAGTTAAAAACAGCTATTTAGTACTAGTTATTTATTTTCAGGAAATATTTATTGGGAGATTAGATATTAAGTAATCCATTTGGGTAAGGAAGTGGAAATCAAAAGGGAAAAACAAGACAACCCAGGATTTACCAATGCTTCAGGTAAACAAACTGTTAAGAGATATAGAGAAAATGGGACTCCTAACAACTGTGCAAGACCTGCTAGACCACCAGCACTGTCACCATCAGATAGATAGTAAAAAAAAAAGCTTAAAGCTTTCATCTTCAAAAGATAGTAGGACGTCAAGCTCCACTCTTTTTTTCAGATCTAAAAACCTGTTACTGAGGAAAGGAAATAGACAAAAAGAAGAAAATTTGCAAATCAAGCAGAGACGTTGCTGGTGTTTTCAGAACAGTGAACTGGATCCAGAGCTGAGAAATCATTTTAAGTGTTTGGGAATATTTGGATCATGAGAAGCGGAAAATGCAACCAACTTCTAAGACTGAACTTTGGAGGTGTGGAAAAAAGATCATAGTACATTTCTTTGAAAAACTGAAATCAATGCAGGCTGTCATAAAAGCAAAGAGTGGACAAAATGAATACTAACAAATGTGTCATTATATCAAGGCTTCTGTACAGACGTCTGTCAGATATGTTTTTTTCTTTTGTCCTGATGCGAAAAAATATCCTGATGCTGAATAACTTAATGGCTATTTTAACTAGAAATGCGAAAATCTGTGACTGGTGGTGTCTGACTTATGCACAGTATTGTATATGCAGTAATGCATTTAAATTAATGAATTTAATTTAATTTAGTTAGGTTAATTTATTTACATTTGATATACACTCTGTGTTAACAGGCAGTTTTGATCTTTTTTCCATTTCAGTTTCAAAAAATTGACAGAAACAAGGCAAAATGTAAGGGATATTTTCCTTTCCACATAAGACTGTACACGCATCAGTAATCTTTCAACAAATTCAGATCATAATAAATGATCTTTTCTGCCTTTCAACATAAATGTGGCATGGATTAAAAGTTTATAATCCATACTTTTGACCACCATCATTAAGCTGTGAGTGAGAAATAGTTAAACAAAATGTGAGACTATGTGTTTCAAGGCACATATGTTGCATTGATTCAAGTTAAGGATTGTAGGGCAGCTTTTGGTTCTACCTGTATTTAAAGGATTAGGTCACACAAAACTGACATGGGAGATCATTAGGAGTCTGTGTGGTGTTATACTTTTATTACAGTTTTTTATATTAAGCAGTGCTTTTCAGTAGATTAATCTTCACAGTGGTTTCAGGGACATGGATGGATTTATTAACAGTAAGTTATCAGC